CAGAACATTTGTAAACATCAAGATTAGGTTGACAAAAATGAGGGGGAAATTCAGAAGCTACTAAATGAAAAAATGAGAACTCCACAGGAGTTTACCAGCAGGATAGTTTGTCTGTCTCTAAGAAGGCAGTGTTTAACTCCATCAAAAGTAAAGTACAATTGAAACTTAGAGAGATGCAGGAATCTTGACTCAGTAAGAAGGCAGATGAAATTCAGTTTTATTCTGATAGTAGCAATCCAAAGTACTTTTATGATGCCAAAGACCTATGATGCATCTCAACTCCTCAGAACTGATGGAGCCATATTGATTAGTAATAAGGTCATGATCCTAGAGAGATGGGCTAAACCAGAGGTGGGAAACCTGTGGCCTCGAGGCCACACGTGGTCTTCTAGGCCCTTAGGTGCGGCCTTTTGACTGAGCCCAAGTTTTACAGAACAAATCCTTTTATTAAGGGGATTTATTCTGTGAGGTTTGGGTTCAGTCAAAGGGCCACACTTGAGGACCTAGAGGGCCACACGTGGCCTCAAGGCCACAGGTTCCCCACCCCTGGGCTTCCATAGTGTTCTCAACAGACTATCATCAACCAATGCTGAAGCCATTGACCTAAGATAGAAGTCAGTCCCTCTCTAGCCACACTTCCAACTGAAAGAAAGAGGTTTTGAATGCCATTGAGCTCCTCTCATGTGGCATAGTGCCTGGGGCTGATTCTATTCCAGCTGAGATTTATAAGCCAGGTGGTCCAATGCTCTTACAAAAGCTGATGGAAATTTTCTGGGTTATATGGCAAGAGGAGGTCATTCCCCAAGTTTTCCTGCTTTGTCCATCTCCATAAAGGAAAAGGAAATAGGTTGTTCTATGACAATCACAGGGGGGTCTCTCTCTTAGTCATTGCAGGGAAGATTCTAGCCAGAGTCCTCCTTAATAGGCTGATCCTTCACCTGGAAGATGGTAATCTACCTAAGAGCCAGTGTAACTTCAGAAAGGTTGAGGAATGGTTGCTATAGTGTTTGCTGCTTGACATACGACATTCTTCCATCTAACCAAGGCCTTTGATAATGTCCATCGTGAGGGCTTGTGGAAAACTGTGTCAAAATTTGGTTGCCTGAAGAAGATCATCAGGATTGTACGTCAATTTCATGACTGCATGCTTGCCTGGGTTCTGGATAATGGATGATGCTCTTGTGCTTTTCCAGTCACCAATGGAGTGAAACTAGACTGTGTGCTTGCCCCCATGCTTTTTAGCATGATGTTTTGAGCCATATTGTCTAACGCCTTTAATGAGGACAAACACAGTATCAAGGTCAGCCACCATACTGATGGTAAATTCTTCAACTTGAAAAGGCTACAAGACAAGACTAAAGTGGAGGGAGTGTCGGTACATGATTTTTTGTTTGAAGATGATTGTGGACTCAATGCAGCCTCTGAGACTGAGATGCAACAGAGTATGGATAAATTCTCTGCTGCTTGTGCTAATTTTAGCCTAACAATTAACACCAAGAAAACACAAATTCTCCATCAGCCAGTACCACACCATCCAAATGTGGAACCATTCATTATAGCAAATGGAGTAGTTTTGAATACTGTGGGTAGTAAGTTCACTTACCTTGGCAGTATACTTTCCAGAGATGTACACATTGATAATGAGGTTGATGCCCACATTGCCAGAGCTAGCTCAGTGTTTGGGAGCCTCTGAGGGAAAGTGTGGGAGAGAAGAAGTACTAGGGTGCCTACCAAACTGAAGGTCCACAGAGCTGTTGTGCTGACCTCATTGTTGTATGCCTGTGAAACTTGGACAGTATACCAGTGCCATGCCAGGGAACTGAATCGCTTCCATTTGAATTGTCTTAGGAAGATTCTGAAGATCACTTGGCGAGATACTGCCAGGACAGTGAGGACACTGAGGACACTCAAGTTGAACTGCCAACCATTCAAGCCCTACTGTACAGAGTGCAACTCCAGTGGGCCGGCCATGTTGTTCAAATGCCAAATGTAAGCCTATTTTATGGAGAACTCACACAAGACAAGTATATACATGTTAACCCAACAATACTATTAGGGAATTTATCCCAAAGAGTACTTAAGAAATTCCTGTCTTCTATTAAGGACAGAGGGAAAAGGACAAAAATAATTATAGGAACCCTTTTTGTTATGGCGATAAACTAGAAACTGAATAGATACCTATCAATTGGGGAATGGCTGAAGAAGCTGTGGTATATGTGGATGCAATGACATTTTATTACACATAAGAAATAAGAGTTATGATAGATTCCAACAAGTATGGAAAGACTGTTTTGAACTAATACAGTATAAAGTGAGTAGAACCAGGAGACAATTTACTCGATAACCACAATAATGTGAAGGGAAACAACTCTGAAAAGCTGCAAAAACCTTTGACAAAAGCAACTACATTTGATGAATTCAAATGACAGATGATGACGTATATCTCACACTTCTTGGTAAAGAGGTGATGGACGAGAGCTATAGGACCAGATGCACAGTCTCATGTAAGGCCAGTATCTTGACTGTATATGTTTATTATAAGGGAAGGCTTTTCCTGGGGGTAGGGGAACTGGCAGGCAGTGATCAATATGAAAATGAAGCATCAATAAAACATTTTGAAAATTAAAAAGATGAAAAAAGAAAGAAAGACTTGGCCTCAGTGTATATTTTTGCCCCAGGTAAGTATTGCTTAGCTGAACTATAGCTAATAAGTCACAAGCAGTTATTCTGAACAACTTGTACAGGAGTAAACATCCCACAAATATTAAAACTTAGAGCACTGAAGATCAATCAGCAAATATTTATTTAGCATCTCCTATATGCCCAAAATTATGCCAGGCCTTATGAGAAGATAAAAAAATAGCTTCTGCTTTAGTCTTGTTGGGGGAATTAGATAACATAAAATAATTAGAGAATTTTAAAGTTGACTGAGGTAGAAAGGGCACCTGATTTGGAGTTCATAGAAGCATACATCTAGGGCAAATATGAACCTGAAAGGCTCTCTAGTCCAGGTGAAGAAATTCATGATCAAAGGCAAAATTTGAACCCAGGTCTTCTGACACCAAAGCCAGTGATCTTTCATCTGTGTCATGCTGAGTTAGAGGATCTGAGTTTTAAACTTTTGTGACTTTGAGCAAGTCATTTCAACTTCTGGGGTCTCAGTTTCCTAATTTTTAAATTGAGGGGATTAGATTATGTAAGCTTCTAGGCACCTTCCAGTCCTAAATTCAATGAATCTACTAAGATTAACAATATCTGACTTAAGCCTGACATTATTTCCTTTATTCGTAGACCTGGCAGTCATTGTTTCCTTGACCTGACAGAACTGCCAATACTAATGAGAGGTCATGTTTTAAGCCCTTCATTTCCTGTTTTCTTCTCAGGAATAATGAAAACTTGTACTAAACATAAAATTTTCTATATATCTAGGATTGTTGTTGTTGTTTGTCTTTCATGTACTTTTTTGTTGCTATTGTTTTTTTTTTTTTTTTGCAAGGCAATTGGGGTTAAGTGACTTGCCCAGGGTCATACAGCTGATAAGTGTCAAGTGTCTGAGGCCAGATTTGAACTCAAGTCCTCCTGACTGCAGGGCTGGTGCTCTATTCACTGTGCCACCTAGCTGCCCCCTTGTTCTTCATTTTCAAAGAGGACCAATGACATCATGGGATGATGTCTTGACTTGTCTATGAGTTGGATTTAAGTGAAGCAGAGTTGCATAAAGTTATTAGCCTTATTCTCTCTTCCTGACTCATCAAAGTCCAATGTTAAGACAAAAGTCAGGATGACTGGCAATGGCCCAGGGTGCAGTGGATGATCTTGGCATCATTGATACCTGACTAAGCTCTAAGTGCTCCATAGCACTAACTTCAGCCACCCTCACGGCTATTGGAACAAATTGTTCTTGTTGTTCCATTCTGCTAGGGGAAGTCTTCACATACTTGGGGTAGACATCCCCCTAACTCACTGATGGGTTTGAGGCCTGTTAGTCAGTTACCCTCAACCTGGTTTAACTCTTCTGTTGAGATGGTTTATCAGAGTGTGGCCACTGCACATGCTACAGTCAGAGCCACAGGTAAAGTTGGGTGAAGCAGGTGGACGCCGAAGGTGGAAAAGCAGTCGTGAAAAAGGGCTTGGCAAGCCCTCACACCTGAGGTGCTGGTCCTCCTGAACATCCTGTACACCCTACATTTAATATGATGTCATCATGTGAGAGATGGGGAAACTCAGGTATAGGCAGCAGAAGGGATTGGTCTTGATTGGTCCCCATCAGGAGGGTGCCAGAGCCAACTTGTCCCAGCACTGACACTTTGAAAATCAAGAAATGCTACATATCAGGGCTTGATTTATTTTGTTGACTGTCTAGATTTTTTAAGTGATGGAGAAAATGTTAGTAATACATGTTAAACATAAAAGTGTCATGTATACTTTTTTTGAGAGTCATTTGTTAAAAATTTACCAGTACACTCTTATAAGACAGTTGAGAGAGTAAGGTATAATGAAGCTTGAATCTGATCTTTCATAGAATCATGGATCTGGAAAGGATCTTAGAGGTTACCTAGCTCATTCTTCTGACTAATGCATGAACTCCCTGTGAGAGTCTTTATTTGAATATCACTATTGACAAGAAACTATCTATCTACTGAACTAACCCATTCAATTTCTGGATGACTTATTATTAGCATTTTCTTCTTCCATATATTGAACTGAAATGCAGCTTTCCTCTGACTCCCCAACTCTGTTTTGCCACACAGAACCACACAGAAGAGGGATTACCTTCTTCTGTTGCATAGTTTTTCAAACATTTGAAGACTATAAACCTATCCCTGATAAGTCTTCTTTTCTCCAGGCTTCTCTAATGATCTATTCACTATTTTCTCTTTTAGAAGAAAAGTGAAGGGAAAAAGACAGAAGGCAGATGGCAGATAGTCTTCTTTTTATTTTTTATAAAAAACAGCATTTTTTTTTGTAAAAACAACAAATTAACCAACAAAACAGCTGTGATCTTCTTCATCCCTTTATCTTCTTTTGCTTTTGTTTCATTTCTTTTAGCACGCAACACTTTAGTACTTTCTCGGCACAGCTTCCAATCTCCTTTTTCTGGCGTGGACAAATGTCATAACAGTTGCCTTGCTTATCGAAACATACCAGAGTGTCATTCCCCCAGATTTTCCCTGGATCGAGGAAAGAGCTGGACGTTATTTTCTCCAGTGCAAAGAGGAATGGACCAAATGGGAATTGGGGTCCTAGATCCATATTTCTTTATTGGACGTCATTCCCCTACACCTGACGTCAAAGCACCATAGTGACAGTGAAGAAACACTGGCACTGGATGGATTGTACCTATGATCCTCCTGCATCAATATTTCGCAACCTTCTCCCCATAAGCGAGGAATTCAGTTGTTAAAAACGAAGGGTGTTCAGTCATTTCCTGCCAAGATGACCACCTGAATCAGAGGAAGACTGTCTTAGTCCTCCTCACCTATCCCCGTAAAATCTCAAAGTTTTCACCAGATTGAATATTGATTTTTAGAAATCCAGTGCAAAACTATCATCCCAGAATTACACAAAAAGTCAGCCACCTGTGGTAAAGTCAGAGCCAGCCCAGAGTGTTGCTATCAGAGGTGGCAATAGACAGGTATAACCTACAAACTTCTGTCTGGGGACAGCAAGAGCAGAAGCCTCCCCTGATGAAGCCCCAGGCTGATCAGAAAGCCCTTGGGTGGGCATGTTGGGAAAGCCCAGGAACAGAAATAGCAGAATTATCATGGTATGTGTGGTGCTGATCAGTGAAGCACTGCAGTCCTCCAGCCCTAACAGCTTAGGGGCTCTGAGGTCCCTGTCTATCCTGACATGCCACAGAGGGCTCTGAAGATCTGATGCTCTGAACCTCAAAGACTCACATGAGGGCAAACACCAGTGAAGTGGAGGTCAGTGCAAGAACCCAGGAGACCAAGGGTAAGAGCTGACCACCTCCCCCAAAAGTGCCACAGGGGAGCAGAGCCTGGCCCTGGCACAAAGCCCTAACTCATGAACTCAAGCTGGAGAAATGAGTAAGTTTAAAAAATAAACAATCAAACACCATCCAGAGTAAAAAAAAATTATTGCAAATTGAACTCCATTAACAACTTTAAGCAGAGATTCAAAGAGGAAAAAAAATAGATTTTCCATAAGGACACCATGAATACCTAGAACAAGGGTTCTTAAGCTTCTTTATATCATGGACCCTTTTGGAAATCTGGTGAAGCCTATGGCTTCCTTCTCAAAATAATATTACTAATAGTAAAGAGAGGTTGCTAAATCATTTATCCCTTTAACTCTACTGCAGCCATAGTTCACATTCTTTCTATAAGAAAGCAATTCAGTTGTCAAAGATTAACATAAATGCATAAAATAAAATACATAGGGTTACAAAGGAAACTAATTATATTGAAATATAGTTTATATATAAAATATATGCATGTATATACACATACACACACATATACATACACATACACATACACATATACATACACACACACATACACACACACACATATATGTTTGTGTGTCAGAGACACCAGTAGGGAGGAGGTGGTTAAGCTAGAGGATAATACAAGGAAGGGAATAGTCACAAGCAAAGTAAATTTCCTGATTTTGAAGGATAAATTAAAGAAGAGAGGAAAAAAATAAAGAACTAAAATCTAATGGGGTACATTAGATGGCCTCTTAGACAACAGATGAACAAATTGTGGCATATAAATGTAAGGGAATATGATTATGTTGTTAAAAAATAATTAGAGACTGTTTGAAATAATCTTGCATGATATGAACTAATGCAGAATGAAGTGAGCAGAGTCAGAAGAATAATTTATACAAGGTTAGCAATATTGTAAAGAAAAGCAGTTTTGAAAGGCTCAAGAATACTCATCAAAGCATTGACCAACTATGTCTCCAGAAGAATGTTACCCACCATCTTTTGACAGAGAGGTGATGCACCACAAGGTACAGAGGCATACATTTTTGGATGTTACCACTGTGTAAATTTATTTTGCTTGACTATGCTTATTTGATACAACTTTTTTTCCCCCTGTTTTCCTTCCCTTAGTTAATTGGAAAGGAGAGGTTACTGGGGAGAAGGGATAATGAGCAATAATGATTTAAAAAGAGAGGGTCATTGTAACACTTTTTAAAAACACAAAGAACTGAAGAAAGCTCAGAAGGAAGAGCAGACAGGCAGGACAGTTTGTAGAATTCATTATATACTTTTTTTTTTAAAGCAAATGATGGAAGTAGATATTCAGTTGTGTTTAAAGTTCTCTTTTTGTGTACTGCTGTATGTATAGAAAAACTTTTTTGTTCAAGTTCAGGATTGAAAATAAAATTCAAAAAAAGAATGAAGGCAGTTTAAGCAAGAGATAGAGGCAATTACAAAAGATAAATAGATAATTTTGAATATATGAAATTGAAAGCTTCATAAAATTAATTCATTTAAAATAACAAGGGAAATAGTGAACTGGGGGGAAAAAAGTCTTTGTATCAGATTTCTCAGATAAGGTTTTGGTATCCAAACTATATAGGCAACTAATAAAAATGTATAAGCTCAAAAACCTTTCCCCAGGAGACAAGTGGTCAAAGAATATGAACAATTCTTTCTCTCTTTTTTTTTTCTTCTTAGGCAATTGGGGTTAAGTGACTTGCCCAGAATTACACAGCTAGTAATCAAGTGTTTGGTCTGAGGCTAGATTTGAAATCAGGTCCTCCTGACTTCAGGGCCAGTACTCTATCCACTGCGCCACCTAGCTGCCCCCTAATATGAGCAATTTCTCAAAAGAAGAATTGCAGAGTATTAACAACTATATGAAAGAATGTTCCACATCACTGATAATAAGCAAAATGAAGATCCAAACAATCCTGATTTCACCTCATACACAGAAAATTGGCAGAGATGACATGGCAATAGCCAGTATTGGATGGGTTGCAGAAAAACAGGCACTCTAATGGTTGGTGGAGTTGTGAATTAGTACAACCATTCTGGGAAACAATACAGTATTATGCAAATAAAGTTACTGAAATATCCATAACCTTTGACCCAGAGATTCTACTGTGAGGGATTATACCCCCAGAGGTTACTGACAAAAAATAATGCTCCATATATACCATGGGTTCTTAACCTAGGGTCTATGACCTTGTTTTTTAAATATATTTGATAACTGAATTTTGATATAATTTTTTTAGTAATTTTATACATTTTATCTTATGTATTTAAAACATTACAAGAAGGGATCAATGATCTTTACAATTACCCCTTTACAAGGGGTCCATAACACAAAAAAGATGAAGAATTCTATATCCGCCAAAATATTTATAATATAACTTTTTTTGTGGGGGGTAGAAAAGGCCTAGAAACAAATTACAGTAGGGCCCAAGACCTACTAGGGATGGCTGAAACTATAATATAAACAAATGCCTGCTGACCCCATATATATATATATATATGATCTCTCTCCCACTCTTGTCCCTCAGTGCCCCCCCACCACACCATTAAAAAAAATTTTAAAAAGTGAAAGTGGAAAAGGGAAAATAAAAGCAGAAAAACTGACTCAGGAATTTGGTGTCATCAGACATCCTTGTCTTGGCGATTTGGGGTTCCTTTGTGGTTACTGAACTTATTCTGAACTTGATGTGGGAAGTGAAACCTGTAAGGAATGACAAATATGATTAATTCAGAGAAACATGGAAAGACAAATCAATTTATGCAGTGGAAGAAAACAGAGCCAAGAAAACAACATATGGTTGTTGTCCTTCTTTCCTGAGGAGGACCAAAATGGCATCACTATATTAGGATCAAGGCACAGTGTATCTGACTGTGGTTGATCAGAACAATACAAGCTTGGGGAAATCTTGGAAGACTCTACTATAGGTCAGGCACAAATAGTCCATATGCATAAACATTTGGAGTGGAGATGTCTCTAAATTTGTGCATCTCACATTTCTTTTGAGCTACTGTAATTTGTTTGCGACCCCTCAATTACCCTCAACTTAGTTTAGCTGTTTGCCAAAATGGTTTATGAGGGTGTGGCCGCTGCAAATCCTACAGCCGCTTGGAGTCACAGGTAAGAGTTGAGTGTATCAGGTGGACACCAAAGGTGGAAAGCATCACTGAAAAGGACTTGGCAGCCCTCAAACTAGCGGCACTAGTCTTCCCTGACATCTTACACCTCAATTAATAGAATTAATTGTTTGTTCATTACTAATTAATTAATTCAGATAATTACTAGTTAATTCAGAGAAGCATGGAAAGAATTACATCAACTGATGCAATGTGAAGAAAGTAGAGCCAAGAAAACAACATATACAATGACTACAAATACATGAATGAGATTTAAAAAAAAAAAAACAACCACCACAGAGCAATTGAAAATGAATGTTGCAGAGAGGATTCTGGGAAGATGGCAGAATAGGTCAGAAAATTCCAAGCTCTCCAGATTTCCCCCACAGACAACACAAAATAGTGCCTCAGGGAGCATGCAGAGTGGTAAAAATAAACAAGAGTTGGGGCAGAACAGTGTTCCTCCAGGGACAACCAGGAAAAGATCCAAAGAAAAATCTCCCTATATTTTTCATTATTTCACGTGTATAATTGTTATCATATTGCTTCCCTTCTCAATTGATGGGGGAGGGACAGGAGGGAAGGAGATACTTGGAACACAATGTTTTTTTTAAATGTTAAAAATAAATAATACATCATCATTATTATTATTTAAAATGAGTGTGATTCTGCAGCCAAAAGAACTAATACAGCTTTAGCATGCAATAAAATGGGCATAGGGTCTGGTATGAAAGAAGTGATAGTTTCAGTGTACTCCGTTATGAGCTGGAGTACTGTCTTCAGTTCTTGTTACCACATTTCAAGGAGGGCAACCAGGATGCTGAAGGGCTTGCCATGTGATTATTGATTAAAAGAACTGAGAAAGGTTTTAAGGAAACAGTAGCTTCCTTCAAGTATTTGAAGAGCTGTTCCATGGGAGGTGGATTAGACTTTCATTTATTTTTATTGGTATTATTATTATTATTATTATTATTACCACTACTACTACTAATAATTCAAACCTGGAACCATGGTATAAATCCAACCAGGTTTTAGTATATACTCTTTTTAATATTTACTATACCCTTTTTGTTAATATTCTATTCAATTTTATTTAATATTTTAATTTATCTTAAATTAAATATTTGAAAATCTAATGTCTTTTCTACTCTTATTATTAATGATAATAATTATTATAATGATGATAGTGACTTGCCTGAGGTGTACTGGTCTAAACTGTACTTGAGCAGTACAAATACCTCTTCTATAGAATCCTTGGAAAAATGGCCATCCAGCCTCTACCTGAGAACCTCTAGTAAAAGGGAACTCACTACTTCCTCATACAACCTATTCGCTTTTTTATGCTCTAATTGTTAGGTATTTTGTCTCTTACATTACCCTTAATTCGTTTCTTCTCCAGTTTTTTTTTTAATTAGAAAAAAGGCCAAACTCCCAAACTCTTACTCTTTCACTTCCCTCCCCTCACAGTATGGTAAACAGTGGCCATCATTCCTGACACACATCATTCCTGACCTAATAAAAATATATAGATTCCAAGGGGAAAAAAAGATTCTAGATCTCATTGTTATCTGTAAAAACCTAGGCCAAGGAACTCCCAAATAAAGCAGGACCTCCTCTTGGGCACCATGGCTAGTGGAGGTACCCCCTCTTGATTGTCTCCATCAGCTTAAGGGTCTCTTGGAAGAAGTTATTAGAACGTGACTCTTACTATTCTTGGGGTTATTGGGCAGCCTCCCAGTTGAGTACTCTAACTAATCTGGGCCACCCACAAAATTGGACAGTTCAGAATTTACCTCACATAGAAAAGAAACCTCAAATCTGGACACACTGTCCTTGCAGCTGCTTGGGATGGTTTCTGTAACTGCTGGATATGCTCTCTCTTCTCAGCAATTGTTAAACTAGCCCCTTTTCATCTCCTTTCCTATCATCTCTGGTGAACCTTGGCATCCAGTTTCTGAGTGCCAGTGAAGGTTTGTATAGGGGTGTAAGGATCAAGTCCTGGTCCCTTAAAAAAAACCAAAAACCAGTGGAATTTCATTTCTACCACACATCTTGAGTTCTCTTTCCTAGTAGGTTCTCAACCTAATTTCAGAATTCCTTAAGGAAATCATGTAACCTCTTTCCAGCTGTAAAGGATAATCAGCATCATCGTCCCCCACCCCAAGTGGAAAGCACAGTCACCTTAAATCTTGAGGTTTTACTACCGAACTTAAAAGTGAAATAAACCTGTTAAGGTAAAACTTTAAAAAGCAGAAGTTTAAAGAATTTTAAAAAAAGAAGAAGGTAAAACTTTAAAAAGCACAAAGTTGCCCTATCAATGACAAGGCAAAAGGGAGTCTCCCCCCTGTCCTTGTAATATCACACTTGTAATGTGGGGGTGTCAATTATGGTACAAAACTGAGAAAATACAGGGAGTTCAAAAATACTGTAATAATGGCTGACTCATGCATTGTTATAAAGTGACAATGGAATCATGAAAACGTCCTCTAACCATTAGGAAGGCACACACAAGAAAAGATAGACATCTTCCTTAGTACAAAGAGATATAGACCATCAGAAAAGAAAAACTTAGAGTCCACTATGCAGAAGAATATTATCCCATAAGAACTTCTTTTGGAAGTTCTCTTACATGGGAATATTTAGATAGCATCTAAAAGTGAAGAATTTGCTAGCCCCCTCCCATTTACTTCTTTGCAGAGGTGGGGAATCATGGACGTAGAACATTGAATACATCAAACTTTTTCAGTATGTTGGCTAGTTTTGCCAAACTGACTTTTTCTTTAAAAAAAATTTTTTTTGGGGAGGTGGCACTTTGGGAAGGGAAAGAGAGAAAACACTTTGGGAGATATTCAGTAACACAAAAAAATCAATAAAAATTTATTTTAAAGAAAAGTGATTTGCCAATAGGTAGGAACTCTTAAGCAAAAGATAAAAATGTTTCTACTCTAATCTAGTGGTAGAAAGGTCTTCATTAAACTGAACATATGATTTCTGAAAAGAGATTGTTCTCCATTTAGATATTCTTAATACAAATCCTTTATACTAATTCCATTACAACACAGATATCTCTATGAAAAACATTTTTTAGCAATGGATTCTTTATTTCACATTATATTTGATACAGCAAAATAACTTGGACAGTCCCTTCAGATTTACCATAGTGGGATTTGACCTATAGTTATAAATCCCAGGTTTTGGAAGTGGGTTAAATTGGTAGATCCCCTGTTCAACACTTTAACCCCTTGACTAAAGACCCTGACTATCTTTATCTTCTTTTATTTGGGGAAACAAATTCAATATTTTAAGTACATCTTTCTAAAGTTCACCTGTTACATTCTGTCCTCTGGCCCCCCAACATACACATCATTTTAATCTTTATTCATGTTTCCATCCTACCTGCAGCTGCCAAGAGCCAGACAATGTAGATAAAGTAAAGTACCCTCATTGATGAAGCTCAACTGGAATCTCAGTGTATCTGGAGAGGAGAGATGCAATGGTCAGCTATATCAGAGGCTTATACAATAAAGGAGATAAAAACATCCTCACGCAGTATTTATATCAAGATATAATCAGGTTTATTGAGGGAGTGAATGTGACTGAAATGCTGGTCACACAATGTTTACTGCTTAACATTTCTTTGTATATGTCATGGTCACCTAGCATACTTCAATGCATATTTTCTACCCATTTAATAATACCCATTGTTCATGTACTCTGAGCTGTTGTCTAACCAATAAAGAGAGTTTCTGTTAATTAGAATTCTAAGACTGAGGTGTTACTTTGACAAGCCCCAAATTACAATAGGTCACGTAGGCTGGGATTTTATCCTGACTCTGCTACTTATCACCAAGGGGAGCTTGGGCAAGTCACTTCTCTGAACTTCAATTTACTATCTGTAAAATGGGGATAATAATATCAGTTCTGCCCATTTCACAAGGATGCTGTGAGGCTTAACTTGAGGAAATATATGTGAAAACACTTTGTAATATTAAAATTATCTACAAATGTAATGTGATTTTATAATTGCTGAGGGAACATGGAATTACTTCTGAGAGCCCCTCCAGTGTAAAGGGGCCCTGTAGGCCAGTGTGAAAAGCACTGCTTTCAGAGTAAGAAGATTTGGGATTGGTATTGACTCTGTCTTTTAGTACCTTGATGATCTTGGACAAGTCACTTACCCTCTATGGACCTCACTTCGCTCATCTGTAAAATAGAGGATTGGACTAGAGAATCTCAGAAGTCCCTTCTAGCTTGAAACCTATGATCCTCTGTACTGTAAGTCTTCCCTTAAATCCTACATCTTAGAGGAAGGAGATAGCAAATTAGTCAGAATTTTGAAGATATGTGAGTTGAGAAATATTTCTTCTATCAAAAAACCATTTTGCCCTCAAGTACAATAATTTAACAGTAGGAAGAAGAAAAGCTTTTATAGAATGCAAACTACATGCCAGGCACTGTGATAAGCAATTTTTTTTTTTTTTACAAATATTGTCTCATTTGATTTTAACAACAACCTTGTTTGGTAGGTATTGTTATTATCTCCATTTTACAGTAAGGGAAACTGAGCAAACACAGGTTAAGTGACTTGCCTGTGGTCACTCAGCTAGTGAGTGTCTGAGGCCAGATTTGAACTCAAGTCTTCCTGACTGTGGATCTGGTGTGCTGTCCACTGAGCCACCACCTAGCTACCTCAAGAAGGAAGAGTTAGGGGAAAAAAAGTATTTAAGGTACCATCAAGGGGCAATAAGTCAAGAAAACCTGGTGTCTTGACACATGTGGGGTGTGTGACCCTGGGGCAAGTTATGGAACCTCTCAGTACCACCATGCAACTCTCTTTACAACTACATATTACAGAACAGGTACGATTACTAATACAGGCATATGAGTAGAGAGAATTTCTTCACCAGGAATTCCCTATACTAAGGAAATGAGAGATCTGCTTAGAAAATAAAAGTGTTAAAAAAGATTTATGTATGTGCAAATACACCCATATGGTATAGTTATGTCAGACACATACATAGGTCATTCAAGAACATTATTTGTTAGAGGATAAGTAATATATTTATATCTACCCATAGCTACATTTATATCTAATCTATATCTATATCACTCTGCTCTATTTAGCAATTGGGTAAGCACCGAATAATCATGAAAAGATCATGAGAGGCAGTGAAGGCTGGCTTCTTTCCTGAGCGGCACTGGTGGGAGATAGGCGTGAACAGACGTTCCTATGTGCGTCAGGCAGTACAGGCTGTTCTAGGACAGTCAGCTTCTCCCAGAATTCTACAAAGTAATGTTCTAGCAATGCTTCCTAGTTTGGCACAGTCAGCTATCCTTTGGTCAAATCCCAGACATTCTGTTTACCAGTCATACAACAAAGCCTGGAATCTATAAACTGAGGCAGCAGTGGGTGTCTGCTTTCATCTTAGGCACACTGAAATAAGTGGAGAGAAGATCAAATGTCATTGTAAATGTGGATTGAGTTGCTGTGGCAGGATGGGTGGGAGTGGGGAAGGAGAGGGAAGCAGACACACAAACATTTTCATTAAAGGTTTGCTCAAGGATGGGGAGCAGTGAACAACTCAGCATGGAAATCAAAAGGCTATTAATTCCTATTTCTGCCACTGCCTAGGTATTCTGTAGTAAGTTTTTTTTTTTAATGTCATTGGGTCCCAGTTTCTTCATCTTGAAGGCAACAATATCAACTGAGATGCTAATGGTGAAGGACAAATACTACAGAAAATTGAGACTAATATGGTGCCAAATGCCTGTAATCCCAATTACTGGGGAGGCTGAGGCTGGAGGATTTCTTGAGCTTGGGAATTCTGAGCTACTGTAGGGTAAGCTGAATGGGTATCTGTATTAAGTTCATCACTTTGATGAACCTCTGGGAGTAGAGGACTACCAGGTTGTCTAAGAAAGGGCAAACCATCCCAGGTCAGAACAGAGCAGGTCAAAGCTTTTGTGCCAATCAAAAGTGGAATTAGGACTCTGAATAGTCTCTTGCATTTCCAGACTGGGAGAGATTGGGTGAGTCTTAAAAAAAGGATATGAGGAAAGCTGAGGGGTTTTATCTAGCCCCTTTAAATTCTACATTATAACCATGAAACCACTGGACCAGAGAGGCTTACCCTTCCTAGGATGGCACCAATCCATCACAGACATGGCTTCTGGGAAGTTGGACAACTGACTTGGGCAGTTGGGTATATGATGATGCAGCAGTTGATTGGCAAGGACAGACCTATTGCCCTGAGATGGGAGAGTGCCATTTGCTAGTTGGGGACACACTGAGGGCCAGTTGGGTTAGGTGGATGCTCCTTCTGGCACAAGGAGTTCAGTAGCAGGAATAGCTACATTGTCTATGGAATCACACGATCCCCTACCCATCACAATATGGCATTACTAATATCCATATTGGCAGTGGACCCATTCCACATGCTCTTCTCTCTTATAATTGCTCCAACCTGGTTGTTTAGCATATGATATCTCTCATGTGTGCTGACATGCTTTATAAGCTACTGCATACTGCAGGAGGCTTCCACAAAATTCCCCCATTAATTCTGACCCAAAAGGGGAGAACTTTTGATTGTTTTGTTCTATTTTCTCCAGGGCACAGATCACTTGTCTAGCTTTATGGCTACTACCTAGGAATAAGAGCAGATGAAGATCTTCTTTGCTCAATCCCTCAAGGCTTTCTTATATTTCAGACATGTTGCCTAGTGCTCAGTCCACTGGGACAATAACCATTTGCTAGGGCATTCTTTGTTACTGGATTAGTGGTTGTTGAAATCTAGGCATATATGTCTCTCTTTTAGTGGATGGAGCCATCTGTAAACCAGGCAAAATGGTACTCCTCAGGAGCCTGCTCTTTACAGATGAGGACCCATTGAGCTAGCAGGGGAGGCAGAAATTTAGGGCCTGGACTGAGGCCTTAGTCTCTGGCATATGTGCCACCTGTCTGTAAAGAGCAATGACATAGCATGGACCTAGGCAAGTGATTTTGAATGTACCATTTTCATTTAACAATAGAGACCTATTGTGACCTACCCATCTTGTTAGAGGGATCATCATTCATCATTCAACTTATAATAGGCAACTTTATACAGAGGGTGATTTGTATAACCCTGTGTCATCTGTTCAGTAGCAACTAAGGACCAAAAAGAGCTGAGCAATTGCTTTTCAAAAGCAATATGGTGAATGGTTGCTTTGCGGAAATTGCAGTTCCAAAAGTCTAGCAGTTGCTTATTCTGACCACCTCTTGGTGCCTGCCAAAGGCAGGACAAAGACCTTTAGAAACATGGACCCTTCAGGTCATAAGAGCACAAGGGAGGGATTGCTAGAAAACCTATTTTAGATTTTCCAGAGCTGTAGCCTGTTCTGGGCCCCATCTGAAAGAGATGGACTTGCAAATGCTTCAATAAATGGGGACCATCAGGAGCCCCAGATAGGGAATGTGTGTTCTCCAAAACCTAAAGAGTTCAAAAATCTTTGGGCTTCCTTCTTAGAGCTTAGAGAAGAGAGTGTCAGTACCTTATTCCTGATTGAGTCCAGAATCCTTTGGATTTTTCCCAGTTGTATTCTCCAAAACTTTACTGAGTGGGCTGGACTCTAGTTGATCCTTATGGTTGATTTCCAACCCTTTGATCGAGGGCCAATGTCACCATGGTCTCATTTGATCTGGATAACATTATGTAATCAGTGTAGTGATTATACCAATGATTTTAGGAAGGAAGATCTGTCAGATCTCTGCCTACCATAATGTGATCACATGAAGGAGAGTTAGGGCTTAGCACAGTGTCTGGCACATAGTAAGTGTTGTATAAATATTTATTGATTGATTGGCTAAGGTTACATAGCTCTGGGGAAGGAAAGTGAAAATATACTGGACTCCTTCCTAGGTGAAAGTATATTGTTCTAACTAGTCTCAGCTACAAGAATAGAGAAAAAAGTTTAGGTGATGTCAAAAAACCATACTACTTATTCTGGGCCTGGGCTACCTTGTTTACAACATTGATGAAGTTGGAAATAACAGTAGTGATGAGTGTGAGGCCTTTGTTGCATTCTCTATAGTCCACTGTCAGCTTTCAGGTGCCACCTCCCTTTCTCATGGACCACACAGGGTTGTGTTAAGGGGAGTTGGTAAAACAAAGTACTTCTGCTTCCTTCATCTTCATCACTAGAGAAGAAATATCTTTCACCTTTTTGTGGATGCAATATCATTTGGTGTTTACTACACAGGATGATTTAAGCAACTCCAAGGTTTCCATTTGACCAAATCAACTACAATTACTACATAGAAGTCACTTGAACAGATTCTGGAGTCCAACAACCCATATACCCTTTCCCTTTATGGTCTGCCTTCTGATCCCTCCCTTGAATGATCTAAATGGAGCAAGGGCTTTAGAGGATGCCTTAGGCTTGGGTGGGGCTGAAAGGTCTGGTGCTTAATTTCCCTGTACAGTTTTTTTTCACTAG